TGTAGAAATCTGAAAAACGCGTTTCACAACAATGTCTCTCATTTATTTTATGCTGCATTCAAGATGGCGGCCCCCATATAGTAAATATCGCATTTATTTTATTATCATTTGTGCGCCAGCTGACTGTGTCTTCACCAGCCACATTTCCATGATCCTGAGTGACCTACCATATTTGCTTTATTAGAAACATAACTCTAATAGAAAAGCATATAAACTAAACATTGTATTTATTACATCATTAAATCATTAAAATATCACTTATTTTGACCATAAAAACACTTCAATCGTTTTTTCACATAAGTGTATGTACTTCTAATAGAGCAACTACAGTTGTTAAGATGGTATATAGTGGGACTTACCATCGATTCTTTCCTTTGCATCACCAAATCTGTAAAGAAAACAGAAAATAAAGACATATTAAGAAATGTTTGCAAACTCAGCTGTTTAAGGCAATTAAAATGATTACTTTACCTTTCTTGGGGGAGTTCTTGTGATATCAACTGGAGTTTCTGAATAACATCAGCTGCTTCTTGGAGCTATAGACATAACAAACTTTAGTTAGTATACAATGAAAAGAATGGTACACAGCAATACAATTTAACCATTTCCTTGAAGTCCTGTAATATTTGTGACATGCCATGTTCAAATGACAAGACAAGGCAGCCGAGTCTATTTAAAATGCAATAAACATACCATTGGAAGAAACAGATGATGACCACACCAAGTATCAGTCATAAACCCTACCTGAAATGGATCAGTGAAAATATCTGAATACTGTTCTTTATCAGACAGGAACTCGGAGAAATATTTCATTAATTTCTGAGCCTCTACTGCTCTCTGCCTAGGTATGTTAACACCCTCTAGCTGATCGCCAAGATGTACTACTTTTGTGGCAACACCATTGATACGTTCATCCAGTTTGTGAAATAGACTAAATGCTCCCTGAAAAAAATTGTAATTAATACATTAAGGGTAGTGATAGCCTGACAAGGTCGTGTGAGGTGCGCCCTCAGCGGTGCTCCAAACTCAACACATGCCTGACAGAGCGATGTAGTTTTTCATTGCAATAGCAGGACAGTCAGACAATGACAGCCATCAAAGAGTAACCATTCACGACAGAGTTTATTTGTTGACAGAATGTGTGATAAGGTGGTGGCAAATTTATCATCTTGTTGAAAACAGTCTGTGATTTTTACCGAGAATAAAAACACAGCTTTGATTGACGGTATTACCATGACCACCAAAATGAATATTCATTGCAATTCATTGTACCGGTACAAAGGCGTGAACTTTGCGAATTTGCAGTACCCCCGGTATTGATCTTGTCAACGAGTGCTTCTGGATAAAAAATTTAAAATAAACTAGTCTAGTCTGTGGCCCACACTGTATATTATATGCAAAATATTGTACATCTAAATGTATTAGAGTAAGAGATACATATACCTTATCAGATCAAATGCTACATTCACAAATCTCATATTACAGAGTAACTCTTCATATATCCTCTATATATTATTTACCTGCTGGTTTTTCTGTAAATCTACCAATGTTTCAGCATGTCTGTTATATTCAGTCTGTACAGTCTGTTCTAACTTTTCTATTCTTTTATGCACCTTCTCACCAAACAGCTTCAGCTCCTCTATAGTGTTACCGAATGACAGCAAGAGTTTCTGTGGATCAAATGACTCGGGTCCCCTTTCAGTTGTACCACCTTGTACATTCCATGCCAGTCTCTCTACATAGTCATCGCCGCTGAATGGTTCCTGGGGAAACAATTATAAAGATGTCAAGTGTGCACATGAACCAGTAACATTGTAGGGTTAGATTAGGTTAAAGATTCCAGTCTTCAATCATCCCCTTCATA